CAATCAAATTAGCAAAGGATCTTCACCTCTACTCTGTGCTTTATATTCTAAAATTAAATTGCAACTTTCTCACAATCAACAAATTTACTTGTGACCTAAAATATGTGACTAATTTTATTTCAATTGTTGTGATTTTTAGATTGTGGGTTAAAGGAAGGTGATTCGTAATGCTGAAACGCATGGTAGTCTATACTTGCTCCAAGAAACTAACTTCATCGGTAAGCAATGTCATGAGTCAAGTTATATTTATGAGTCCAATTCAAATCCTGATTCAGTTGAGAGTCAAATCATGTTGGGTCGTTGTCATCTTGGTCATCTAAATTTTGCATACGTAAAAAGTTCTCACTTTTATTAATCACTAAAAAAATTTAATTTTTATCAATGTGAAACTTGTTAACTTGCCAAGTATACCAGACATGCATATTCCAAATTGCAATACAAGCTTTCTTTTTTTTGTAATTCATAGTGATACTGAGGACTCTCACAAGTGAACAATATGAATTAGGCATAATCGCTTGTATCATTTATGGATGATCATACAATAACATGACGTTTCTTATGAGAGAAAAATAAAAAACAACCACTATATTTCAATCCTTTCACTCTATGGTGCTCACTCAATTCAAAAGCAAAATTCAAATTCTTAAAACTGATAATACTAATGAATACTTCAATTCTATCTTTAGTCCTCATCTTTCCAAACATGTTATCAAATCCACATTGCAGCTCATTGTCATTGTTTACCTGAGAAAGTTGTAACCATCTGTTCTGTTCGATCATAACACTTCGTGTCAAACATCCTCGACTCCTCTCCTCAGTTTTGGTCAATTTGCTACAAAAAGCAATCGTCTGTTCAAACAGATCAGCTCATGCATATGATCAGTTCATTTAGAATAGCTCTTGTCGAACAATTCTTCTCTTGCTCTCTCGATCGACTGCCCTAACATTCGTCTAGTTAGACCAGATAATTGCATTTGAACAATATTAGTGCAAATTGCAAACACACACTCCTTGCGATTTTTATACGAGCACAGACTATCGCATGCTCCATATGAGCGTTTGATTTCTCACGCTTCTGTTGATTTACTCTGAGCACAGATTTCTGCATGCTCTGTACGAGCGCAAATTTGAGCATACTTTGTTCTTCCTATCCTGCTTACTAAAACCCTGAACAACTCAATTCTTGTAAGTTCCTGTGTGAATACTCATTAAATGATATTGCAAAAAGAAAAAATAGACACTTGAAGTGGCTCGTGCCATTATAAATATTTTTGAGGGTAAGCCATTTTCACAGCCACATACCTCTTCAATAAGATGCATTTTTGTGTCATAAATTTTCAAATTATCCGTAATATTCTCATAGAATCTTACCCACATTCACTCTTTTGCTTCTAACTTATCATTGAAGGTTTTTGGTTGTTTTGTCTTTGTTCACATCCATCAACAACGCCGCACCAAACTTGATCCAAGTCTCTCAGATGCATTTTTTTCGGTTACTCATCCGATCGAAAGAGGTACAAATTTTGTTCTCCAACCATTAGAAAATATACAAATTCCATGGATGCCAATTTTATTTTCTTATTCTAAAATTCAAGAGGAGAACTCGAGGGAATATGTGATTTGGGATTTTTTTAAGATACTCCGACCATTTTTTCTTTAACTGAACCAAATCCTCCACCTCACCTTGCTCCATTTGAAGAACCAAAATCTGTCACATAAACAATCCCCCTTATCTCTACTCCACCTCAACATTACACCAGGATCATGAATTCCGTGTCTACACCAAAAGATGGACCATTGAGCATGTTGATGATACTAGCATTCTAAATACTGTCAAGAGCTTGAACCAAGTCTTCTTGATAATCACAATGGTATGGATTCTTTAACTCATGACTATTTTACACTAATGGTTGATGACTTTAATCAACCAATTGCACACAGAAAAGGTATTTGGGGTCGCACTGGTCATCCAATTGAAAGATTTTTAGCCTATGAGAAGTTGCTACTATCTTATAGAGCTTTTGTGACTAACCATAATATTGTTTAAGTTCCCCAATCTATCCTAGAGGCTCTAAAGGTTTCATCATGGAGATAAGCAATTGAGTAAGAAATCAGGCTCTAAAAAAGAATAACATATGGACACTTACAAAGTTATCTCTTGAAAAAATTTCTATAGGCTGCAAATGGATGTTCTTAGTCAAATACAAAGGAGTTGAAGTGTTGAGAGATTCAAAGCTAGATTGATTACCAAGGGTTCACAGTCATAAGGGATTGACTAATAGGAAACATTTTCAGCTATTACCAAACTTAATACGATTCAAGTTTTACTCACTCTTATAGTAAATCAAGATTGCCATTATAGCATCTTGGATGAAAAAAATGCCTTTTTGAATGACAACCTTGAGGAAGAAGTCTACTGAACGATACCTCTGAGCTTGAAAAATATATTGAATAGTTGGTTGATTTGCAAGTTGAAGAAGTCATTATACGGCTTGAAGCAATTTCCTCGTACTTGGTTTGTAGGTTTGCTAAAACAGTGATTACAAACAGATATCAGAAGTGTCAAGCTCATAATACATTGTTTGTTAAATCCAATTCTAAAGGCAAAATTGGCATTCTCATAGTATATGTAGATGATATTATTTTGTAAGGTGATGATTTAGAGGAAATTATTAGACTAAAAATGGTACTTGCAATAGAATTTAAGATCAAGGACCTCGAAAATCCCCAGTTTTTTGGGAATGGAGGTGGCTTTGTCTAAGGAGGAAATTTTCATATCGCAAAGGATGTCCATCTTAGACCTGCTAAGTGAAACTGCCATGCTCACACTTATGGATTCCAACAAAAGGCTAAACTTAAGTGAAGAAAGCTATTGGGTTGATGAAGGAAGATATCGAACACTTGTGGGCAAACTACTTTATTTATCACCCACAAGACTTGATTTTGCATACTCAATCAATGTGGTAAGCCAATCCATGAATAACCCAAATGAGAGTCTTTGGGAAGCTGCAAACAAAATTTTGAGATACTTGATGATGATTCCTATATACAATTTGTTCTTTAAAAGATTTGAAAATCGTGACATTTAGATACACACAGATGCTAGTTAGGTAGGGAAGGTAATTGATAGAATATCAACAACTATATGAATATCAACAACTATATTAAGTTGATTTGTCTGGGGTAATCTCATCGTGTGGAGAAGCAAAAACAAGCTATTGTCTCTCAGAGTAGTGCATCATTTGAATATCGTGCTCTTGCACTAGGAATATGTGAGGGAATGTATATTCAAAGGTTATTAAGGGAACATAAGGTTGAGATGAAAGACACAATTAAGATAGATGTTCAGTGAGAGTCAAACTATTATTAATATAAGAAAAATTTATGTGCACCATGACATAAAAAAATACATCTAGATTGATCAACACTTCATGTCAAAAAAAGTTAGCAACAAAATTTTTCAACTTGGTTATGTCTCTACACGACTTCAGACTGCTCGTATTCTTACCAAGACACTACTAATGGTCAATCATTATGAATTGAAGTCCAAGCTTGATTTGTATAATATTTACAACCTAACTTAAGGTGGAGTATTGGAAAACACCAATCCACATTAGGAAAAGAATTAATTTCCTTTCCTAAGAATATATTTAACTAATTTTATTTTATTTTTCTGATTTTTTTTTTAGGATTCCTATATCTTTTCTTTCAGTATTTTATATTTATGTGTTAAAGTATATTGTATAGATTAGAATGATAAATAAAATTTGTTTCAGATTTCTACACATTGGTATTGTCAATAGATATATCTGGAGTTCATAATATTTTTCCCATGCTTGTGCTTAGAAAATGGTCACTAATGAAAGTCAAAATTTATATAGAGAGCAACTTGGCTTGAATTGATGAACCAAAACATATTGGGTTTTGATGTTTAAGAATTGAAAAACAGTCTAATTCTATTTATGGAATTTAAATGAAGACGTAACAATGAAAGAAACAACTTGGGAAAAAGAGGATGATGTGACGAAAATTCACTCTTTTGACTAATTATAAAGAGAATAAATTTTCGGAATGAATTTCTAATATGTAGGAAATAATCATAATACTCAAAACTTTGTTAGGATAAAGTTAAAATTTAATAAAAAATTTTATACCCTATTTTCCATGCCTATGGAAAAATAATTAAAATTATAAAAGATAAAATATGATCAGGTATGTATCTGATGAAACTTTTGGTGCCGTGCAAATAAACTATGATGTTTATTAAAAGCTGTGTAGTTGAATGTTAGAGAAAATTTGACACTTTCGCCCATATGGAATTTTGAAATTCTTTCTCTCGTTTTTTGTGATAATTATTGGATCTTTGTGATATTAAAATGCTATGATAGAATCAAGCAAAGTTTGAGTATCTTCACCTTCTTGATTTTTGTGACTGATGAAGGGACATCAAATTAAGCTTCTTAAATATTCTTCAATGATTTTGGACTGATGAGAGGTTGTCCATAGATTTTTCTTGGAGAATCATGCATGATGAGTAGCTTAATCTTGAATGTAATGGCTTGATGTGTGATTTTTGTTCATAGCCTTAATGTTGATTTGCATCTAATTGAACCGTTAAAACTTCAACGGCCACAACCTCTTTGACCTTCCCATTTGATGCCAAAGTCATGATTATAGGCGATCATATTCCTACTTGATTTGATTCCCGGATCATTCATAATGGTTCATTGTTATATGCATTGTGCTATCTTATGTGAATATTTTACCCCACAAAAAATTTAGAGTTCAGAATGTCCTATGAACAGCAGTCTAACTGATTAGGCTTTAGTTGTACTTAATTCCACAAATGTTTTGCTCACATATGGATGGCTGTTCTGAAGTTCTTATCTTTTTTTGATTATCATGTTTCCTGTGCCTGTATTAAATGTATTTTTTTTTGCCCTAATCAACTATCAAGCCTATTCTTTGTGCATTAATATGGCATTCCTTGTCCTTCTTAGGACCATTAGCAAGCAACTACGGTTGTTTGACATCCGGCTTAGGAAAACCGAAATCCATTCTTTTGGATGGAAGCAGGAGAGCAGTGAGACTCAGTCTGCCCTGATTAACCAGGCTTGGTCTCCAGATGGCCTCTATCTTTCCTCTGGGACAGCAGACCCCATGATTCATATTTTCGATATCAGATACAATGGCAACAGTCCCAGCCAATCCGTGCAAGCTCATCAGAAGCGAGTCTTCAAAGCTATATGGCACCAATCCCACCCACTGTTGACCTCTATCTCATCTGATCTCAACATAGGCTTGCACAAGATTTCCAAGTAAAAGGTTTGTTTGCTTGCTGCTCATTGTCTCATTATTTCAGCTTCATTATTCATTTATATTACTTTCCTGAATGTGATTAATTTGCTTTAGTTAAAATTTTTTCAATCAGGTGTCTTTACTTTAGTGCCATCTCATCCTGTGGATGCGTTAGGTCAGTGCTGGTAGTCTGACATTTTATGAGCAGACGATATACATGACTCCAGAGAAGATTTTGTCTGGGAGTTACCGTAGAACATATTTAGTTCCAAGGATTAGCCTAAATTTTTCTGTTTTTTATTTTTTGGGTCCATTTAGGCTGCTGCTTCCTTAAGACGCTTGTAAGATTAATTCATAGAGCTGCTAAAATATAATAGTAATTTTTAACACTTTGTATTTTTTGGTGATCAGCTCTTGAACCTGTTTGTGAATACTAAACAATTTTTATATATCCTGAATGATGTCAGGTGTTCTTTTCTTATTTATTGTGAAATGGAAATCGTGTTCTCCTGTTATATGAATTACTTGTGCTTTGCTATTTCTTTTAAAACCGGTCTCGTCTTTGGGCGGTTTTTGATTTATTATCTGAAAGATTTTTTCCATTTAAGCAGGTATCCTAGTGGGAAGTAATCAGGGAAATTTTAGAGAGATTTGAAAAAATGGTTAAAATTTATTGAAACATAAAGTTAGTGTTTTTTGCTTGGTAAAACTTGCAGTCAAGCAGGTCATGTTTCAGAGTTTCAGGAGTTGTGTGCAAATTTGTGACGTTATAGAGTACAAATTAATGAACTACCTTGTTTTTACTCGAATGAAAGTTTCTAGTTTTATCTAGATGAATACATTCACTAGAAAGTACAGAAGTAACAAGTTAGTCAGAAATTGGGGTTTCACAAGAAAATTATACATCAGCACAATGCTTATAGTTGAATGGGAATCGTTGTAACAAGTTTATAACCGTCATCAAAATTATAAGGAAGCGTGGGGTTTTCAAGAATTGTTCTACGATTATGGAGTAGTTTGATAGCAAAGAAAAAGGATTGCAATAATTTTGAAATTTTAGGTGCTTTTTTTGTTGAAAAACAAATGCGAAGTTGTTTTCTTTTTTTTTTTTGATACATGTGTAGTTTTTTCTTTTAGTTTTTACGAGGTTTGTTTAGAATTCATTTAAATCAAATTAAAATTTAAGTGCACTGTTTCACACATCTCCTTTCACCCAAATTGAACCTTCACCACACAGATGATTGAGACGAAGAGCTTCCCGTCTTCCTTTAGCCTTTACCTCTAATTTCGTGACATCACCCACGCTACTAAATTTCATCACAAAACTCTTTCCACATGCCATAGGAACATCTGGGTCACGTCAGCACCTCCATGTCTGCCTTCACGTGACGTCCCTACAATAATCAACAGCTGAGCCAAATAGATTTTTAATGGCGGTCGTAACTCTCGCTCTTTTTTTTTTTTCTTAATTTTTTGGCAAAAAATGAGTCGCACGTAGCTTTATAAAAAGAAAAAGAATACAATTCAAGGATTTAAACAAACAAATACATAAACTAAAACTTCGTTTGGGATAGCTTATAAGTGAGGACGGCGTTTTTAAAACACCACCCTAGCATTTGTTTCGTGCGTTTGGGGAACTTAACAGAAAATGACGTTCGGCTTTGTCTAATAAAAGCAGCCGCAGGATTGGCCTCGCGGCCTGCGTCTTCAATCCGCGCCACATTATTTTTTCCTCCCGTGCCCTCTGTCTGTCTCCTCCCTCGCTCTGTTGCTGTAGGCCGCTTCTGCCTCGCCTCTCTCCCTCTGGTATCATCCTCTATCCTTTCGTCTGTCTCCTGCTCCGTTCGTTTTGTGTCTCATTGAATTGCTTTTTGGTAAGCTAGCTCACTTTTGGTTGGGAAATCTCTAATTCAATGTTTTTATAGGCATTTTGCGGGTTTTTGGTTGCAATGGTTAACTTTCTGTGGTTTTCTGATTTGGTGGATTTCTTTGGGATATTTTATGTTTTTTTGATAATTTTGAAGTAAATTGGTTGAATGAGGCTTTTGTATGATTCTCCATTTCGAATGGTTTAGGATTGCTCCGTTGCTATGGTTGCTTTGGTTGGAGGATGTGTTGGAGGTTGTGGGTGATGTCCTTGTTGGTGGCTTTTGGGTGTGTGTTGTGCATAGGCTTGGGTCTGTGGGTTGGTGGTGGTATGTGAGTGAATGTGTGTGTGTGATTGTTGGCATCAATTTTTGATGTCATGAGTGTAGGTTGTCCACTCGAGCGCTAAGGAAAGTTGTTTAATGCGCGTGTTGACTCTTGTAGCGCGAGATATCCACTTCGGACCCACCGACACACATTGAGGGGCACGTAGCTAGAGTCATCTTGCTAGGCTTTGGCTTTCGCCTAAGTGAAGGCTGGTCAACATTTAGCACGTTGGACGACTTCGATCGGGTTGACAAATATTATTCCTCGCGTTGCGCGCGAAACAGGTTCGAATTAGCCCCATCGTCAGCAAAGTGGTCCGAACGACCCCGAACGACGAAAAGGACCACACCACTGCATCCGGAACGTCGATTTTACCTAGGGGGACGTTCATTTCACCGTGATGGCACGTTCGACGAATAATGAGCGGAGAGTTTTAAATAATAATAAAAATAATAATAATATTATTCTTATTATAAAAAAAAAAAACCCTATCCTATTTAAAACCTACATTCATTCTTTTTCTTCAAATTCCTGACACTATTCCGCCGCCAGCCTCGTTTGCGCGTTCGGAACCCTAGCTTGTCACCGACCTCGACCTTGCTTGTTTTCCTCCTCGCCGGCGAGAACTGACGTCGTCGGATGGCTGCTTGCCGAAACCGAGCCGCCACCTCCTTCTTCTTCTTCTTCTTTGAGGCCGACCGAGCCTCTTACTTTTTGTCGGTCTGTCTCGTCGGCGTAACTCCCAACGCCGCGTCGAACCTTCCTCGTCGAGAGTTTCAGCCGTCGAGCCTCCTTTCCAGCAGTCGGCCACCACCATTTTTGGGCTTTTCTTCCTTTTGGCCAGCCACTTTTCGGCCTCTCCACCTCGCCGGCGACATCTAGTCGATTCTTCTTTGCCGGCGCTGAGCTTGCGACGAAACAGCCTTGCCACTACGTGCAACCCCAAATTTCGTACTCCTCCGCACATTCAACATTTTTATTGCATACTGTCGGCGAGCTAGCTCCTTTACCTCGTTGCCCTGTATGTCTGGTGATCGAAAACCTCGCCGGAATGAGCCACCGTCAACAAACAACGAAGGTACCGTTGTTTAGAGAGGTGTGGACGTCTTCTCCTTTGTGAAGAAAGCCTCCTCCCGGGGTTCGTCGGTGTCGAGCGTCGCTAAACTATACGTGTCGGTCACATTTTCCCATGCTATGATATTTTATTTTAAGATACTTTGCATACTTCACTGATTCTTCTCTTCTGCCTTCATTCACTCCCATCTTCTTCTCGTTGCAAGGTACATTGGCACACGAACTGGACACCGACGACTCGACATGCGGGCTCTCCTTCAGCATAAAGAGAATGCGTCCGCAACCATCATGATGACGAGATCCCCTACCTCCTAGCCAACCTTATGAATAGTGGAGTCTAGGCGTGTAGGTTCGATCACCTACACGGGGTGCGTGCACTGACTTGGGTCGGCGCGATGACGTACCTACGTGATGGATCTTTGATTTTCCTAGAGCTAGCATTTAGGTTAGGAGTTGCTGTGCGTGGTCATACACCCCCGTAGAGCCGAGTATCTCTCCTTTGTTGTGAGCCTTAGCACAAGTCTTGATGGGTCGGAGTCTCTCACTCCCCTTGCATTGGGTTCCCCAGCTTTACTTTAAGAAGTTGGGAGGTCAAACTTGGCAAAGCGAGAGAAGCTTTGTAGCTAGCTCGCTCTGCAAAGTCTAGCTCGCTTTTGTAGCTAGCTCGCTCTGCAAAGTCTGGAGGAGTTCGCAAAATACGAAAAGCTTTGTAGTTATCCTATTTCGCAACGTCATGGAGTGTTTCCCCCTCGGAGATTCGGGGAGAAACTCCCCACATTTCTTCACCAGGGTAAGAGGCGGCGATGCCGCATATCCAAGGGTCTAAACCTTAGGTTTCCCAGGTGAGGTCGTTAGCACGAGCCCGGTTTGCTATGTGCATGTTGGTTTGCTGCATATTGCATTTTTGCTTGGTGCATGCTGCATTTCACTTTGCTCCAACTGGCCACCCCAGCCCGGTGTGCATCTCACTTCGCTCCTACAGGCCGCCCCGACCCAGTGAGCATCTTACTTCACTCTAACTGGTCGCCCCGGCCTGGTGAGCATTTCACTTCACTCCGATCGGCCGCCCCAGTCCTTCGAGCATCTCACTTTGCTCCTACCGGTTGCCCCGGCCCTGTGAGCATTTCACTTTGCTCCGATCGGCTGCCTCGGTCCATCGAGCATCTCACTTCGCTCCAAACGGCAGCCCCGGCCTGATGAGCATCTCACTTTGCTCCTACCGGCCGCCCCGGCCCGGTGAGCATCTCACTTCACTCCAACCGGCCGCCCCGACCCAATGAGCATTTCACTTCACTCTGATTGGCCGCCCCAGTCCGTTGAGCATCTCACTTCGCTCCGACCGGCCATCCTGGGCCGGTGAGCATCTCACTTTGCTCCGATCGGCAGCCCCCACCGGACGAGCACCTTACTTTCCTTCCGGCGGTCGCCCCCGTCGTTCGGTCGGTCGCCCCGACCTGGTCAACCGATCACTTTGATTCGACTGGCCACCACGGTTTGGTCAATCGAACACTTGCATGTTTGTATGCTTCTGCTTCTTATTGCCTTTTTGTTTGTATCATATCACATGCTTTCCTGCTTGCATGTTTCATCTTGTTTGTGTTAGCTTGCATGATCATTATCATTTGCTTGTGTTGCACTTCTTCGGGCCACTACCGCCATGACACGCCCATCTCTTTCGACCACTGTCACCTCGACAAACCTTTATCGGGTCACTGCTGCCACGACACGCCCATCCCTTTCGGTCACTGCCGCCTTGGCACACCTTCTTCAGGCCACTGCCTCCACGATACGCCTACTCTTCGGGTCACTGACGCTATGACACACCCATTTGTTCGGGTCGTTGCCTCCACGACATGCCCATCTTTTCTCGAGTCAATGCCTCACGGTACACTCATCACTTCTGTCACATGACTGTTAGCACTTGCATTTGCATGTTTGCATGGGTAGTGAGCCAGGCTCATTAGGAGAGTGAACCTGTGTCGGTCGCGATGCCTTAACGAGCATTGCTTGCTGGGTTGACCCTGGTATGCAATGCGAGTTAAGTCATCGGGATTGACATGAGTATGACTGTGCTAAAGATCTAATAGATCTAACTTGTGTCACCGTTTTTTGTGACACCCTTTAGATCCTTCAGATCTTTAAGATGGGGCCAGTATGACAACCCTGTCAA